TTCTCAACGTGGGAACTGAGTTAACTGCAAACCAATGTCAGAGTGTGTTTAAACTGCCATTGGACACAGTATTGACCTTTAACTTTTCCACGTCCCTTGAGCCATTTTATGGCAAATGGCAGGAGGCTAAGCCCAAAACCTCCATGGCCCAAAGGGTGATATGATGTGGCCATGAATGGTTCTTGCTTTTGATCTAGGTTGGCGGGCGACCCCTTCTAGTTTTGACATGCTGAGCCTACTGAAAGACATCCTTTCTATCAGGCCCCCGACTTTGTTTGTGTGTGTGTGTCCGGAGGATTTTTTTGAACTTTCCCAAGAGCCACGAAAAAGCACGTGTCAACGAAACAGGCATGACGTCTTGCAAGGGTGCACTCACGCTCTAACTCTCGTTATTCGGACAGTTCAAACAAATCTTGTAGGGCGTCTGCCCTCTTGTACAACACCCTCCCACATGGAGTCGCCCCAAACTTGGAACTAACATGGAAGTGGATGGCATGGCCCCTTGGAAGACCCTCAAATCCGAATCACAAGCACGGGGTTCTCGACTTCCATCTTAGTTCCAGGGAGAGATCTGAGGCCCCAAAAAAGTTGGATGTTTTTTCTTTTTAAAGAAAGCCCTGCTTCTTATGATTTTCACACAAGAAGCTTTCGGTCGTTTACATATAATTAACTTTTAAGCGGCGCTCCTTAGCAAACTCAGTGTTGCTGCAACGAAGCTATGCCTTGGAGTGGGATGCACGGATTGATCACCCGTGTGTACCTGCAGATTTCACGCGATGGTGTAAACCCTACTGTTTCTAACTTTTTGCTTTTCCGTTTGCACAGGGCCATTTGAGGTGATTTTGACAGGTCGTCTGATTTCTGACTCAATTCTCGAACAACTGATTTTATCCTGTAGGGCTACTAGATCTTTCACTGATTGTCAGGGTTAATTCAGTTCTCATGTTTGTTTTTCATGCACTATCGACATGTCACGTTGTTCTTCCTTCAGCTTTCTTCTCTTTTCTGCATCTTCTCCCCTCTTCTAATTACCAGCTCTTTATATATTGGTGCAATGCAGGTCGGCAGACAAGTGTTTCCCACAAACTACCACACACTGCAAACAAGCCACATCTTTCATCAATCTGAATTTTGTCCATATATGTCGGGGTCTACACACTATCGGGCAACCGCGCGGCGGTGTGCAGTTGGCAACCACACCAACCTTCCTTGCCTAAGACTGTGTGCCGAACTAAATCCAAAGGTGCACCAAACAAGGAGCAATGGAAGGAATGCTACACGGTTCCAAAACATTACAAGGACCAAAGGGATGGCACGTGGTTCCAACTGTACCAAACCAGAAGGAATAATTGTATATTCAATTATTCAGCAGGAACGTTTCGAAGCAACACTTTGGTAGATTGGAGAGGTTAGTTACCAATGCAGCCAATGCACAAGTGGCACATAACAAGTGAAAAATTCATGGCTGTGAGAAACACTAGCGGAAGTGAAGACAAGGAAGCACCCAGAAGAAGAGCAAGGCGGACCGAAAGGGATACGCACCCAAGCAGCAGCGCCAAGGTAAAATCACTGAAAAGTAAAGGGAGGGAGCAGCCTATTTTTTCCGATGGTAATACTGGTCACCTTGGAACACGGGGACTCCAAAATCTCTATCACTAGCGGGGCGGAGGTTTCAGGTTTCATCTTTTCATATTCATTCCGTAGAAGGTTGTCGGATTGGGGAAAGGTACTTTAATCCTTGGGAAAAGTGTTGGAAAGCCTCCTTTGCAAACACCATCGTGACCCCGCCTGGTTCCTCGCTGCCTCTCCCATTCATCACCATGTGGGAAAATTTGACTACGGCCTTTTACAACATCAACGTTCCTCTCGATACAGACCTGTGAAGCGCAGCTACTGTGAAGAATTCCAGTTCATGTTGTAAGATCCAATTCCATGCACAAAGACACAAAGACAGTCAAAGTATGCCAAAGTATGCAAGCAGAACAGTCTTGAATGAGATGCTGAAGTAAATCGGCAGAAGTATTATTCTTCCCTGTTCCTGGGTGATTGAATATGCTTTAATCGGCCACTGGCTGAAGCTTTGAGGCGCGAACAAGGCGCCGCTTTTCGGAGATGTCAGGCATAATACAGGGCCCCCAAAGACCCATAAGCACATAACTGTTGGGTTGCTCCGAAAGGTCATAAAGCCACTTGGCAAGACTGTCCTTGCAAGGCATCACATCAATGAAAGTCCAGGGCTCAACAAGGCTGTTGGTCTTCGTACTCTCTCATGTGTCATCAAAATGTGATCCATTCATTCATGAAAATCATAGCAGCAGCAACTTCACCATGTTGTGATGTGTGCGCTGGGCATTTTCACTGCTTGAGGCATACGCGGGACGGAGTGGGACACAGCTTCGCGAGCCAAACATGAAATGCTATTAGATATTGTTTCAACAACAAAAAACAGTAAAGTCGTTTTTATTTTACCAAAGCACGTGAAATGTCTGTTGTGCAATCATATACGTAGGTTTACCGGGTTTTACATGTCCCCCCATGTCCCTCCCACGTACAGTACATAAATGCAATACATCCGACTCATAACTTGCGAAAATGTTAATGCTCATGGCCTCCAACCTACTAGCTATTCCCTCCACCCTAATAGCGATGGCCTCCACCCTAGTAGCGATGGCTTCCAACCTAATAGCGATGGCCTTCAACCTAATAGCGATGCCTGTGACACGAAATCTCAACATCTGGAAAGACATGCGCCAAGGAGCTCGCCCTTGGCTCAACCACAAGAAGTCCTTTGCATGACCAGGGAGGGCAAGCAGCCAAGGCCAAATTATCATTCAGCAGCAATAGCTTGGTCACCCACAACCATACATACACATGTGGAATCGAATGTATCGACTCGAAATGGCCCAAGCAACACAACCGATTGTCGTTCGAGCAGGGAGAATAGTGGTGGATACATACTGTCATACCGCTCTACTGATCGAGTTCCATTCGTTCTAGCTGAGGAAAGCTGCGAAAGGTCGAAAATGTCACATCGAAATGAGTGCAAGCTTTAAAACAATTATATAAATACAACTATATATATATAAACAGGTGCATTGGCCCAACTGCTTCAAGTTTATTGAGGGCCCAGCAATGACAGATTCCATGACATGCCACGATTCGCTTTCTGCTTATCTCAGCATATCTCAGATCATCCAGCAGCTGTTCGCAGCAACACTCGCAAGACCTCGAGAAGAGAGGCAGCTCTTTTTCGTCTGGCATATGTCCAGCTAGTGCACAGTCTTCCTAGAGAGGCACCTCTTTCAGAAAGTCTTCTGGATCTACAAGCACCTCAAAAAGAGTCTCATCGGGCAAGCCACTTCCAAGCAGCAAGCCTCTAAACCTACTTTCCTCGATGTCTCTTTTCAGGATCTTAGGAAAGTCCGCTTCCGCTATGCCTGGGCATCCTGAAATGCTAGAGAAGGTCCGATAGACAGGATTCTCGGTCTCGTTGCTGTTTCTCGCTGTGCTCAAATGCAATCGACAGTCTTCTAAGCTATGAAATGTGATTCTCACAACCGTCTCTTCTCTCAGGTATGGTGCTTCAGGTGCAGTGTTCCGAAGCTCCTCCAGGACACAATATCTGAGAGAATTGATTAAACGGATTAAACTCCTGGAGCACACATGAGCACACACACTCCGGCGTTCCTTATTTTTGACGGCGCCGTGCGTCACACATTCCACAAAGCTCTGGGAAACCACGGGCGGCTCGGCTTTCCCAAGGCGCTCACGAGGGAGGTCATGCATTTCCGGTCGCGTACCACAGTTGAAAGTCGCCTAACAGCATTAACAGCATCCACGCCCACGGACTTTGTCAGAATCACACAGAGGTGGCTACAGTTACAGCATCTCAAAGAAACAACTTCTAGCTTCTTGTTACTACTAGCGTGGCACTTGTTATTGGAAGCGATGCACTTGTTTCTACTAGCTTCTTGTTACTACTAGTAAGGCACTTGTTACTACTAGCTTCTTGTTCCTGTAGCCTATGTCCGCCAGTCCCATCTAGCGTTCACAATGCAACTCCGAGCAGCCTCGAAACCAGTGAGGTCAGAAGAGCGTACAGATTCTCCTCCATGTGCAGAGATGCTGCCAGCTAATTCTCCAATCATTGCATTCTTGGTCACAACCCAGTCGTTTGAGCATTCCTTGCCAAAGCAGTTCGGAGAGAAAGCCCTGACCAATGTGCGGAATTCCACCTCGAAATGCAAATCCATGGGTCCATGGGTAACACTCCAACTTGTCACAGTTATGCGAATCCAAAGAAAGCCGTGGTTTCCCCTTTGATCACTTTGATCAATAGGCAGGTTGGAAGGACATGCTGCATCTCTCGGCTGCAGCTAGGACGCTCCACACAAGTTCCGCATTGATTTGTAATTTGTACTGAAACACATTCAGACCAAACAGCAAAAGAAGTGCTTTACAAGGAAGGTAAGGAGGAACAAACAAAGGAAGCAAAGTCAAGTTTCCCTAAGAGCCTAGGAACCAAATCAGCCATGCAAAGCGTTCTTGAAGCAGGAAGCCTCACCCCGCTCAGGCAAGGGTGTACTGGAGCAGCTCCTTGTAAGCTACAAAAGTGTTGTTGTAGTAGTTGTTGTTGTTTATCAAAGAAGGAAGTGTTGCCCACACCCTAATGAGATGGAGCAAAGGGCGACAAAGCAATGAGATCTGGCCAAAAAGAAGAGACTAGCTGCGGCAAACTAGCAGCTAAGGCGTTCAGTCTCTTGCAACCAGCTATACTAGTGACTATATAGTGTTCAAATATATCCAACAGGTTCCTTCCGAAGTATACACCCGGCAACCAAAGGCACAGCTTTAGTGTTCAGCAAAGCTTCCCAAGCTGATTGATCGCCATTCATCTTCAGAATTGATGCACCCATGAGCTGCACTGCAAAGGCTTTGGACTTGAAAATGGAAGCATCAAACTTTTGGTGCACCTTTCTTGCCAACTGAAGTGCATCCTCTGCGCTTTCGTATTTCAGATCGAACTCAGTCTCTGGGTCCATGCTTTTGCACGGCGCAATAACGGCGAAGCGTTCGTATCGTTGCTTCTGCTTTGAATCTGCTCCTGTGCTCTCCAATTCCCTTTGAAATGACATACTGTGGAGCAGCTCAGCAGCTTCTGAAGTGTGAAAGGATTTCGTACGCAGTTTCTCATAGCGGTCTGCTGCTTTACCAAACCATTCGCTGCTAGTGCCCTGGGATGACCAAAGAGGTGGTCACAGTTTTGAACGAAGTAAGATGAAGTAACAATGACGGAAAGGAAACTAGACTTCATTCAAGAATGGTGAAAGCACATGTTCAATGTCTATTCACTTTGTTTGATTATGATTGATCCTAAGGCCTTAAGGGTCTTTTATGGTCTTTTCTTGACTCCTCCCGGCCTGGCCTTGAGCCAGGCTTCAGCGTGCTTCCCGCGCTGGTAAAGCCATTGCGTGAAAGCCTTCCCTGGTGCATTGTTTGTTTTGGGCTCCTCTGCCATTCCCGCCTGCAATTCAAAGAAAGCAACATGGTGCAACGAAGAACTGACTATTCCCCAACATGTCTGTTGCTTGGTTGAGTTCTTGTCTTTATGTTCATGATTCACAAACGTTCTCAGTTCTCAAGCCCTCTTGGAATACTAACGCAGTGACAGCACAAATCAACAAGAATGCAATAAGCTGAGAGGGAAGGCAAGTAGGGTCGCAAACATATTTCGTTAACTTTTGCTGACATCATTATTGATAGCAGCAGCATCTACATGCACCAAACTAAACATAGTCGTTGAGCATGACGCCGTGAACGGGTCAATACGACAACCAAATGGCATCGCCTGTGAAGGATCAACCCGAAGTATATAAATTTAGTGATTTTTGAATATTTAAATGTAATTAAATACTTGACTACTTTGGTCCCAACATGTGGATAAGAGTTTTGCAAGCCTTCTCGTAAAGTTTTTGTGAATGACAATTCCAGTCCTTTCACACACCGTGCAGCATCTGATGACTCTAATGACCAAAACATGTCAGGACTTATCATTCTCTCTCTCTCTCTCTCTCGTTGATGTCAATCTTTTCCAGTCCTTGTGCATTCCACGCATCACCAGGCGTCGTGCACCGCGCCCTACACGACCCATCGAGTCCACAAAAGAATTCACAGAGCCAGAAGAGTAGTGGACCTCAAAGGGGCTCAATGGACTTCTAGAGAATGCTGTAGAAATGCATTCGAACAAATTGTTGTAAACAAGGCTTGCGTATAAGTAGCCTGATATAGGCTGATATAGCCTGATCTATGGTTGATTGAGATATAGACCGTAACATTTGCGACTTCAAACACTGCAAGTGAAGTTTCTCAGTTTCTGAGGTAATCCAAAACACAATATACATGTCATCCACCTGAGAAACGTCCTGAATATCTCAACTACAGTATACATATGTATACAGTATACATAGTGCATATTAGTGCCGATTAGTGCATAGTATTGAATAATTGACGGAATATCACTGGTACAAGTAGCATGACGGCATGACACACAGTTTGCGCCTCGGGATCTTTGCACCACCTTGGAGTCTCCTCACTCTCTTCTCTGGTACATTGGAGAGAAACAGTCGCAAAGCTGCGCCACATATGAAAGTCCGAGTCTTGTCGACCTGAGCTACAAAACAAAGATAACGATGCATCCTGCATGGCATGCAACAATTCCTTTGCAATTTTCAACTGGAGCCAATTCCTCCGCTGTCTCTCTCTTTCTCTCGCTATGGTTGGTTACAGCCTGTGAGGCAGCTTGGTCCAAGTTGACCTCCTGCAAACACTTTTGCACCAATGACCACCAATGCGCAACATTAGGCAACATACTGAAAGTCCATCCAGGCTACTCTTAAAATCAACCAGCTTGATTGCTTGGAAGTCCCCCTGCGGCTTGTTCTCCATCATGTCGTGTTGAGTCTTCTGAGGTGTGCGACCACGATAGAACCATTTGGCTGCTTCCATCTGCTTGGAGTTCATTCGCAGCGGACACCAGCCATTCTTCTTTTCAAAGATTTCAAGCTGCTGTTTTGCGGGAAGAAAAGGCCTCACGGGGCAAATGAACTTCTCGTCCTTGTATGGCTCTGGCATGTCTTGCTGCAAAGTGCCTAGCGTACAAACCCTACAGTGCGCCATGGAACTTCGCAACGACTCTTCATCTATACACTCTTCTCCAGGCAGAAGATTAGTCTTCCCTGTCCATTTCGCATATGCAATCTCTGCGTAATAGCGAGCAAGGTCATCTTCTGTGCCCAATGCGGAGTCTAACTTGTCAAGCTCTTGTGCTTCGGAAATGTTTTTCAATGGACAAACTGTCCATTTCACCACAGTGTTGCCTCGATTGCAAACGAAGAATCAAGAGCATCCTGGTTCGGCTGGTCGACAGCTGAAACACTCAACATTTAAGTTTCCCAAACAATGTAGGAACCAAAACAAGCCGGAGACTCCCAGCCACAAGTGGCCGCTTACTATGCTTACTCAATAGTATAGGCTACTAGATTACTAGATGCTACTAGTACTACAGCAAGTAGCTGCTACTGGCCAAAAAAGCAGTTTGTAAATAAGAGTTGTGCATTTGGCCCAGGTACCAAGAAGCTGGCCCAAGCGAGTGTATTGACCCTTCAAGGCCGAAAAGCTGCTTGTAATGGTTTGCCACATGCCACGGACGAGACTCACGCCCAGTGACGATGCTTCCAATGCTTTGCCATCGAAGTCTGGGCTTGCTGAGATTTCCTCAGTCAATAACGCAGGAAGAGCATCAAAGAGGCGGGAGTTCATGCTTGCAATCAATTCCATGATCTTCACCTGGGTCAGGGCCAAAGTAAGGACGTTAGCCTTTCGCATTGTATTATTTGTATTTTCACAATTTGACAGTATTCAATTGGTATGAAGCAAGTCTTTATCTTATCTCAGTCAACCCCTGCCAGCCTTCATTTCAAGCTCCATGCTTGCAAGCTGGCAAGTCGGTGGACGCCAAAGCTTTACAATGCGATCCAGCATCAGCGCAGCCTGGCCCATGTTCCAGAAACCTTGGAGGGAAGGCAAGGACAGCAATCGATCAATATATTTATACAACATGACGCGACAAGGGTGAAGTGTGGAAGTCACTGACAGCTCGAAATGGCTGAAAGTCATTGAACGTCTACGTGCGGGGGCATTCCTTGAAATCATGAATCAGTCGTACGAGTAGTAGGTTTGTTGTGCAAGCTTCGCAAGCTGGCTGCTTGCTTCACAAATGCTATTTTTAAGTCTGTTTGTCCATGGAACCATGACAACCAATCGCGTTCTGATCAGTCATCAAATGCTGGCCGCCTCACAGGGGAGCAGCAACATTTCCCAGTGTGCAGGGTTCTAGATTTACTGTATGTTGCTTTGTCCAACACTTTCTGCGCATATATAAACATTGAACACCCCAACACCGCTGGAGGCCTGAGAAAATTAAATTGACAAACAACTTATCATCCCTCACCTTCTCTTCGATGTAGCTGAGAAGCCACGCGCTTGCCAAAGCACATGAGGACCTGTTCCTGTTCAGCTATCTGATGCTACTAAACGGCTAACACAAGGCACGTGAAAACTAGTGTTCCTGCAGTTATCATTTGAGAAACAAACAAATACATTATATTTTATAATGGGCTATAATTGTTGTATTAAACACATTGAAAAAGGTCTTCACAAGGTAAACACAAGCAGACTTATCTCAATCTAGATCAAACAGTACCTCTGTCTAATAGTATACATACAAATGTTTCATGATGGTAGGTATACACTCAATTTAGATGCTCTCAGTGTTTGTGAGACTTGCACAACAACATGATCTCCAGCAAAAAGACTTGAACGGATTTGAAGAAACCACTTATATAACTAGGTTGGAGGCCATCACTCGTAGGTTGGAGGCCATCGCTAGTAGCCACTCAGGCCCAGGCCTCCCGACGCGCGCGCGTCTCGGCGGTGGTGGGGCTTCACCCTGGACTGGGGTGCCAACTGGGCCCTGTCACTTTTTCTGGTGCCATGGACTTGGATCCACCTGGTGCTGCAAGGGCGACTCGGTTGCCTCCAGGTGCGGCTCGGGAGATCCTTCGTGATTTCCAGCTTTGGGGCGACGATGGAGGAGATCTGGTCGAAAGACCCTCACTGCTGGTTCAGGATATGGCCATCAAAGCTGGAGACAATCCCTTTCTGTTTGAAGCTGGGCATTTGATTGCTTGTGGTCGTGGCCTGCGGCAGCTGGATATGGATAGTGTTTGGATTGGGGAGGATCGTGATATGCCTCAAACCATCACCATGGATTGGAAGGCTACAGGCAAGTCGGTGCTCCATGACATGTGTATCCGTGGTCTGCAAGGCAAATGCCTCATATGGAATGCCGCCCTGAACTATCCAGGTCCTGAACACAAAGGATACCTGTCGATCGATGATGACACCTTGGTATTGCCCTTGAGCAAGCGCGCCTCTGGCATCATTCCTGTCCTGCACTTCTTTGGTGGTGCTTGGGGTGGATGGAGCTATGCTTGTCAGCTTTTGGCAGAAAAAGATGTCCCGATCATCTCAGGTTGCATTGAGGTGGATTTCACTGCGGCTCGGCAGTACGCCTTGTCTCACAGGTGTCCGCTCTTGTCTGCAACACAGGAACTTCCTCCTCTTTCATTGCTATCCTTTCCTGAAGGTTTCTGCATCCATGGTGATGTCTTTGATGACAATTGGTTACAAGCTGCAGCATGCTGGAATGTTGAAGTGATTACAATTTCGGCTCCCTGCCCTCCATGGAGCGGCGCTGCTGGGCAAATGGGCCTGCACTCGGCTGAAGGTCAACTGTTCATGAGGGCCATTGGGGTTTGCAAGATCCTCAGGCCCAAGATCATTTTGATCGAGCAGGTGGCGGCTTTTCACTCTCATCCTCATCGAGTCTGGATTGAGAAAGCACTTTGGTTTGCAGGCTATCAACTCCGATTTGGCCATGTCATTGAGTTGAGTGATATCATGCCGGTCAAGAGAGCCCGTTGGCTGGGAGTTGCATACTTCATTCGTGAACCAGATTGTCACTTTCCAGCTTTGTCCTCGTGGTCCACTCAGAGAGTCAATACCTTGCTGGAATTTGACTGCATCCGTGCTTGGCCTCCTGACATTCTAATGCGTCTTAAGGTGCCTGATGAGGCGGTGCAACATGCTCAGTCCCTACCTTTGGACCGTCCAGCGAAAGCCCGCAGAACACACTCTGTAGAGGAGGCAGTGGCTTCACACACCTTTCGATCCACGGACTCGTGTGTGCCCACATTCATGGCCCAATATGGCAATCAGCATCGGCTTCGCCAAGAGCTTCTGGAGCAGAGAGGCTATTTTGCTCATTGGCTCCAGACTGTTGATGATGACACGTATCGATTTTGGCACCCCGTGGAGATCGCACTCATGCATGGAGCCTGGAGCGGTTTTTGGACAGATCATCAGTTTGAGCAGAACTGGAAGGGATTGGGCAACCAGATTGCAATTCCACATGCCCTGTGGGTGTTGATTCAGGGCTTGAACATGTTGAAAGAACGCAACCTGCAGTTGAATTGGCCGGAACTGTTGGACTACTTTGATCAACATCGTCTTCGTGCCTCAGAGCTGCATCAAGAGATCTTCCCTTCAGGATCCATGTGGCATACACGTTTCCTCCTGCATGAGAATTCAGCACTTATTTCAGGAAGATTTGACTCAACTTCCTCGCGATCATCTTTGGACGCCAGAGCTGGGGATCCTCAAGCTCAGCTCCTACATTGAGAAAAGGGGAGATTGTCTTGGACTTCATGGGCTCCGACAGTGGAATCCAATTTCCATTCTGGCATCACAGCGAGACCATCTGGAGGCTACAGCTCCTGTTCGGCTTATGTACAGGCGCAGGATCATTTTCCCTGGGCAGCCCCAGCAGTTCATGGTTGAGCGTGCCACTCCTGTGAAAGCGGTATTGGCATTATGGAGGGGAGCCTTGAGACTTGAATCTGATGCTTGGGAGTTTGATGATCAAGACCGGCTCTTTCCCGTGGCCAATCTAGCAGGTGAATGGGAAGAGGATGAAGCTGGCATTTGTGTTCCAGTCCTACAACAGGACATCTTTGATTTCCGCTACATTCATCACCGTGAAATGGTGCAGAGCCTGCTCAACGTTGAGGAAGCAGACATCTTATGGCACGATCAATTTGATTTAGTCCCTCTGCGCGCCAACGTGGTACCGGGCATGTTCCTAAGCTTGCATAGCTGGACCCACACCAAGCTTTCGCTGTCCTCCACGCAGATCCTTGAGGAACTCTTGGAAGCAACTGGGCAAAGTCATTGGGACCATCGGCGTGATGTGCATTCCATTGCAGGCACAGGCAGCATGGCGGGATGCCAACTATGGGCAACGACTTGGGAGTCCTCTCTCACGAATGAGGGCCGAGCCTCTTTTCATTTGGAGGTTTCCAGTGATCTCACGCAGAATACCTTTCAGGTTGATGCCAAGATCGGTCTGTTCACGGCCATTCCTCCGGGGGCATTTCAGCTGTGGTGGGCAGTACGAGCTGTTCGCAGCACCTTGGACTGCTTGAGGATTCCCTCGGGCATCTTCGTTGCTTTCAAATGGTGCAAGCGATTGATCTGGGAGGGGCATCTTTCTCCTGAGGTTGAAATTGCAAAGATCATTGCTTTGCTGCAGCAGAATTGGATGCCGGTGATTCGTGGCGAGGAGATTCGGTTGATCCATGGATCCTCAGCTACACGACTCTCTCCTGAACAGCAATTGGGCTACCTCACTTCCTTGACTCAGCAAGGAAAGGCATATGTTCTCCACATGGTGACTCGTATTCAGGGCGGGGGTGGTGGTGGCCGCAACCCACAGGTCATTTCCCTGAGGAACGAAGTGGCTGGCACCCTGCTTGACTTGCAGTATGACCTGAATTGGATCTCCAAGGCAGTTGATAGTCTCTTCAATCACTTGGGCCATGCTGCTGTTGCTGCCCTGATGAACGAAGCAAATCGGGTTGGAGATGCCAAGAAAGCGGTCTGGTGCGTTGGATAGCCAGAGCTCATCCAGGGAGATTCAGGTCGCCAAAAGGAAGCCACCCGAGATCAACCTCTCCACGGTCACCATCATGCAGGGCTTCCTTCTCAATGAGGACGACTCCAATGCCCTTCAGTTGACGACCTTTGCGCCTCAGTCCTCAGGTGTTTTCCTGGCCCATTTGGAGCAGGCCCTGCCTTGGATCAGGAGAACTCCATTCTGTCCAAGGATGAACTTGGCATCATTGCGGTGACACAGAAGCAGATCGACACATCTCTCAAGCATCAACGGGTCACCTTGCCATGTGATATCCCAGGGGCTGATCCCATCATCCTGGCGGGCATCCTCATTCAATTCGGGGAGAAACAGCTCAAATGTATGGAGGGGGCGCACCGATTGAGTGACCCAGCTTGTGGTAGCATTGCCTTCACACTCTGGAAGACGAGAATCTTTGAATCTACTACACCATTCATTGGAGCAATCTTCGCTGAGAGTGGATGTCCTGAGCTCATCAAGTCCACTTGGGGGAGGTCCCTGAGAAACCGCAACAAACCAGTTCATGCTGCACAAGCGACCTCGGTACAGCTGCACGGAAGCGTTGCCCCGGAGAACATCCCCAGAGTGCTCCAAGCTAGCGGGTTCAATAGAATTTTCTGCGCGCCCAAGGGCTTGGAGACCAGAGCTACCGTGTGATTTGGACTGAGGGGGACATCCCCCGCCTGACATCGCTCTCCAAGCAGACTGCTGGACGCTTAGGCCTGGTGAAAGGCCGAGAGGGATTGGGATTGAGGTTCAAACAGGAGGATTTCTTGGCTGCTTGGCGGATCATTTGCCCCACAAAGGAAGCGCCGCCAGACCTGAGCGGTGCGACTTTGGTCAAGGTGCAGCCCCTCCCCTTCGGCACGTCGAAGGAGCAGTTGACCCAGTGCAGGCCCTCACGTATAAATGGAGCATCCGGCCAATTCGACAAGTCGGAGCCCGAGCATGGCTGATAGCTACAACAGAAGATATCCCCAGCGGCATCCTCTTGTTCAATGCAGCTCCAGTGCTAGCACGTCCATTGCCACCGAAGACTGAGGAGCGCAAGTCACCAATCATTGCAGGGGATGCAATGCTCAGCTGGTCGGGCCCGGTTGTGAGTTCCACACCCTCGCAGGGAGCTGACCCTTGGGCGCAATACTTGGCTTCACATGGTCGTCCTGTTGTGCCAACAGCTCCTCGTTCGGTTGTTGGGCCTACGGAATCCAAGTTCCAGGAGCAAACGGGCAAGCTCACTGCCTTGGAGGCGAGGATTGCTTCCATTGAGACTTCGACTACAGCTTTCCAGAGTGAGACCCAAAAGCAGATCACTCAGCTGGACACAAACCTGAGGCAGCAAGCACATGATACGCAGAATCGCTTGCACTCCATTGGCCTGCGCTTTGATGAGCATCAGAAGGAAGTGGCGCAACAGTTGATGGCATCTTCGCAATCGCTTGAAGCCTCGCTGTTGAAGACTATGCGCCATGAGAA